TATGGGAATTTGCAGCAGTGACAACAGCATTTTGCAAACAAACTCACACACTCATTTTCAGCGATGCCCTGGTTGTAGTTTATAGTGAATGGTTCAATTTAAGTTTCCCCCACACAGTTTGTATAGTTGGTATGTTCCGTGTATTCCACCGATATACTAGCGGAATACACAATGCATGCGCTAGTAAAGCCCACCATGACACTGCTGTGTGAAAGGAGCTCGACCGGACAACTTTCTGTAACGTCATACAGTGCGAATTCATTGACTTGCATGGATGTAATCTGTGTGTGTCAACTGAAGGTTTTAGATTCAGTCACTGTGTTCCAGCATGTTGCTTGAGAGTCTCAATCTCAAATCTGGGGATGGAAGAATAGGAATCATCTATTGTTTAATTGTGATCATTAAACTTTGAACGGCTATGATTGAGTTAATTAAGCGCGAGCGGCTCGTTTTAAAATAAAAACGCAGTTAGCAATCACCAAATAGCTCACATTTATGCCAACTTGCCAAGTGTTGTTCCGATCTACTGATGATGAATAATGAATATTTTATGTAATTGATGGTGTTTAAATCATACCTGTAAACTCACATTTCGGCCAGGAAAGTTTTGATGGCATTTTCTTTTCATATTACCTCCGTATAATGCCTGTAATAACATGTTTACTTTATGTAACTGTTCCACAAGCGCCACTTTCTGGCAATGAATGAATTTGCATATTCACTTATATTCACATTTTATGCAGAAAGGAAGCTTAAAAAACATTAGGAAGCTTAAAAAAAAAAGTTATCTAGGGAAGGGGGGGCCTACTGTAACGCTGTAGCCCGGGGGCCTCCGGTTATCTTAAGGCGCCCCTGGTGGTTACCAAAATGTTGAAGGTTAAACCCTGCAAGGGATTGCTTTGAACAAAGGTAAAAATGCATTTTAAGTTGGTCATTAGATTTACTATAGTCAATTTACAGTCAGTAGCTTACCCTCATAAAACTTCTCTCATACCCCTTTTAAGACCAATTGTTTTTTTTGTTTTTTTTTTCACCAAAGAAAAAGCAGTTTTTGGTTTCAGAAAATAAAAAAAGCCGTAGTTCAAAAACAACGGGTAAGGAAACTTTATTACGTAAGATGTGTATGCTGCATGTTTTTGAATATTAAATAGATGGAAACTTTGTAAATTAGCATGTATTTGTTTAGTGGATGACTTTGATCCAGAGGATGCAAAGTCAAAAAAAGGCAGAAATGTGAAGAGCATGGCATCTGTACTGTAGGGGAATTAGTTAAACCACATAGAGAGACCAATATGCACAATGAAGACCAGCAGTCAAATTGAAGTTCAATCAGTTGACAGAGAGTTTACTGAAAACTGAGTTCTCCACACATCCAAAGGCAGTAGAAATTTAGTAAGAGGAGCCAGCCTCAACCTAACTTATAATGCAGAAACACTACTTATAGCAGGGGTTCTCAACTTTGGCCCACTGGGTCCATTTTCCTGCAGAGTTTAGTTCCAACCCTAATCAAACTTGTCTGAACAAGCTAATCAAGGTCTTTAGGATTACTAGAAGTTAAAGGCAGGGAAGTTTGGTCTTTTCTTGAAGGCAGTATCTTGGAGACACTAAGTTCCATTCGTAAGCAACTATTGTAAGGATAGTAGGTGAGTCATAAATCTTGTGAGGGCAATTCTCATCTGGGCAGCTGTTGATTCTCCTGCATACTGTTCCTTTGGCATGGTCACATGCCTGTCCTAAAACATCCCCTGCAAATACGCCATTAGATAAAACATAGGCAATATCTGCAGCACATCACTGGAACAAAACAATACAGAGCACTGATACAAACTTCTACACATGATTCACTGTAATAGTTTAACATAGCAACTAATAGTGCTATAAACCCTAAAAAGAATTAAGCATAGTACATGTTAAGCATACATAAGTGTTAGTGGATACATGTGGTGTGCTGGTCCTTACAGGTCTCATACGGCTATCATGAGAACCACATAATAAAATGAATAAGAACAAAGTTCAAACTGATAACTCTTTTTCTATAAAATATAACATTCGATTATATAATGATTCAAATGAACTATTACAAAACAAGTACATATTTATTCTCTGGAAGCCAGGCTAAATGAGTAAACACAGTTAGGCTACTGCATTCCTGAGATGGGTCAAACCCTCCTCTCAGACACCAAATACAGACATTGCTTATAAATACCAGAATATATACACTAGTATTAAGAAAACATATGATTACATATTCATTATATGCTAGAAGAGGAGGGGATTGGAAATCCACCTCTTCAGTACAGTGCAATCATATTATATTAAAAATATTTTACAAAGCAGAAAATATGGCAAAAAGTATCATGTGCTGATGCATTTATCTGGGACATGTTGCAGAAGTTTCAATGTTGAACTGGGAAACATAAAGTTTTAAAGATATTTTAATGAGTATTATTTCAATGCCTAGTTATATTACCTATGCATGGCTTGAGAACACTTCATCAGTGGTTGAGATTTTTTTGTCTTTTGAAGTAGGCTACATTCTCCAAAAGTATGAATTTAAACACAGTAAAACGTTTTTTTAACTCATGGGCATTCAATGGAATTTACAAGTGCCAAATGCGAGCAAAACGGTATAATGTACTGACTTACTGTATGGTAGGCTAATTAATAAACAAGACATGTAAGATATAGCCTATAAGACATCTGTGACTTGAAGTCATAATTAATACATGTATTATTTTCATTTAGTTTAAATTATTTAGATGATTTATTGTTAATAATATGTTTTTTAAATCAATTTATTATTGTAATGAATTAATGGATAACACACTACTCAATATAAGAATACTTCTTTATTGTTTGGCATAATGAAGAAGTCCATTTGACAAGGAAAAACTGTAGATTAAGCCAGCAGGATAAGGTGAATGGTTTATTCCTTAAGAAATAAATAACGATTTATGTGTCAGTGTGGCAACGTTTTATTTTTTTTTATTATTTTTTTTATTAAAGAAGAATGATTGAACAAACAAAAATATTAACAAGTACATCCAGATACACAAAATATAAGAGCAATCTTAAACTGTAGAACAGTGTTTAAGAGAAGAAAAATAAATAAAATAAACAAATAACCACATCGTAAAAACAAAATAAAACACACACACACAAAAAAAAACCATATAAACAACTAAACAATAGTTCAAATTTTCTTCCTTTTTCCTTAGGACATATTCACAGATTGCAGCGGGGGAGCTATATCAGAAAAAAAATTCTCCATGAAATCTAACAATATGTCATTCTTTTTGTTATTAATTTGCATTAGAGACTTTTTCAAAGCTTCCATTTCTGATAAAAATAGATTACACTTTGGTATGCATTTCGCAAATTTCTGTTTATGAATATAATATTTACCTTGCAAAATGTAAAAGATAACGACATAAATTATCAATCATTTTACTTTTGTGTGAATAAGTACAAATAACATCTTTTAAAGATAACACATAATTAACATTTCTTCGCAGAAATAGAAAGGCACTAACATCAGACCAAAATCTAAGAGACAAATCGCAATTATAAAACAAATGACACAAGTCTTCCTCATGTGTGTTACAAAAACTGCAATTATTGTCAATGTCCATGAATTTAGAAATAGCTACTTTACATGGGTACATTTTGTGAAGGATTTGACCAGGTCGTATTCCTAGAAGTAATAAGACAATTGTTCCATAAAAGCATTTTATGTGGAGAAAAGTTGTGATGGAAACAATTTTTCCAAGCCAGTAATACCTGCTGGTGAAATTTAGATAATTTAATAGGTAACATTCCTGGAAGAAAGTTACATTTCAGAAGAAAAGATAACCCTCCAAGTTTTTGAAAGATACGTTGTGGGATAAAGAACCACATAGAATTATCATTTTTTAGACAATTTCTTAACCAATTAAGTTTAAAAGTATTGTTAATGTAAAAAAAAAATCTATCATCTCTAAGCCACCTTCTACACTTTTGCCTGATATAATGTCCTTTTTTAACTGGTAAGGTTTATTTTTCCATATAAAATCTAAGAAGGATTTATTGATATCTTTGGAAATGTCCTCACTAACATACATGGAAAGAGCAGGGTAAACAAATCTAGAAAGGCCTTCAGCTTTGGACAGTAATACTCTCACAAAAATGGTAAGATCCCTTTGTAGCCAATTATTCAAGAAATTCAATTGTTCACATGTAGTTTTTTTTTTTTTTTTTAGAAATATAGATTCCCAGATATTTAACAGAGTCTTTTACTGGTATATTTTCAATAGATAAGTATGTATACTAGGTCTCCAGTTAGCAATATCCAAACGATCCTTACCTGGCTTAGGGATCAGGGAGATTAAGCCTTGTTTCATAGTTGTCGCCAATTCCTTCTTTTTAATACAATCATTGAACATTAAGAAAAGTGTCTCTTCTAAAATATACCAGAAATGTTGGTAAAGTTCAATCGAAAGTCCATCAGGTCCTGGACTCTTACCTTTTTTCATATGTCGAAGAGCTAACTGCAATTCTGCTCTTTTAAGATCAGAATCACAAAGATTTTTAAAGTCATTATTTATCAATGGAATAAAATGTTGAATATTATCAGTAAACGCTTTGCAGATATCATAATTAAAGTCAGATTGATATAATTTTTCATAAAAAGACCTAACAAATTCTGAAATTAATTTAGGGTCCTCACATAAGGAGTTATTAATACACAATGCTGACAATGATTTTCTCTTTAAAATGTATTTTTTCAAGGGCAAAAAAATATGCTGTGTTCCTCTCTCCCTTTTCTATCCACTTAGCTCTTGAGCGCACGAAAGCTCCATTAACCTTGTTAGTATACAAGTCATTAAGTTTTGCTTGTAAAGAATGGAGCTCACTATCCTGTATTGGGGAGAGGTCAGTGTGGCAACGTGTTGGACGCAAGTGTGAGGTCCTGACATCATTTGCGCGCGTTCAGATGACGTACGTGTGTTTCAACAGCTGATTGAAAGAGGTCGCAGTTCACCAAATAGCTCGCAACATTAATCTTCTGAAAATATATATTTCGGCTTTTGGTGTGATTTATATCCAGTTCTGTAGCAAGATATTTTCGGAATGACGTAATTCGGTGAGTGTCGATGGTTATTGGCCTCTTTTAGTAAGGACTGGAGATAAAATCTTGTTTTTGCTAAGTCAGTGCTGTGGCATTTGTGTGTATCTGCTTTGTTTCGATTCCTAAGTCAGGCTGCTTAGCTGCTGATATTGTCGATAACGATAGAAACAAACCGGGTTACTTATTTAACGTAAAAACAGTGTGTGCGGTTATTTCTGTTTCGTTTTTTATTGTGTCGTGCTACTAAATACTTTGTTTAATTCCTTGCTGCTCTTTGTATTAGTCAAGCTAGCTAGCCAGAGTAGTTAGCAGGTAGCTTTATCTTAATGACAGCTTTAGAGAAAACACTTCTGTTCTCACATTTAACAAACAACAACATAAGTTGTTGATTCTTTCTAGAATGTTCTGTCTAGGGGAGTAACACAATAAATACACGTTTGTCAGGGTTGATTTTTTTTGTTGAAAAACATTGTTTACATTAGCAGTTGGAATTTTCTCTCATACTAGCAGCTTTGTCATTTTTTGGAGTGCTTAAGACATACTACTTTATATTTAACTAATTTAAACATCCTTTACATCTTTAGGTCAGTGCTATATTCAGGACTCGCAAAATTTCAAAATCCCTGGTAGCCCTTCGGACAGGTACTCTTCAGATTTTGGTAGCCCGAAAATGAATTTAACTCCCCCCCCCCCCAAAAAAAATGTTGGTAGCCCGACTGGAAAACACAATAGCCCCAGGACGTCTGGCTAGCAATTTTGCGAGCCCTTACATTAATGCCAAGAATTGGCAGCATTAAAAACATAAAGACAGTAACCAAATATTCTGAGAGGGTTGTACATCTATTGGGTCTCCACAGGGCCGTGCACTGTCATCAATTCTTTTTTTACCTTTATACAAATGAGTGTCAAAAGTTATGAGGATAATTATGTTTTATAAATATGCGGATGATACAGTTTTCCTTTTCTATCAAGCTCAAAGGGTGACGATAGTCATGCACTTATTAAGTTTATTACGTGCTGAAATGAGGCAGAGTTGGGACTAAATATAACGAAAACAAAAGAGATGGTGATTGATTTCAGAAAAAGAAAAAAAAAACGCTCCAAACGTGCAACCAGCGCTTATTAAGGACAAAGAGGTTGATAGAGTAGAGGAGTATAAATACTGTGGAACCATTTTTGATACAACCTTAAAGTTTCAGCAAAATACAGAGGCTATTATCAAGAGGGTTCACCAAAGAATGTTTGCCCTGAGGAAACTGAACTCTTTCTGTGCACAAAAATCTATATTGAGTGCATTTAATAATACTTTTATTGAGAGCGGCTCGAGTTTTCATGCGTATGCAGGTTTCCATCTAAAGAATAAAAATAGCCTCCAAACTATAGTTAGGACTTGCTCAGAAATTACTGGTATGCCACTGCGAAGCCTAACTGAATTTCATGAGCAGCAACTGATAAGGAAAGCTTGGAGTATCATGCACATGCACTTTGAGATAATGCCTTCTGGCAGACGGCTTAGAAGTATTAAGTGTTTGACCAACCGATACAAGTTTACCTTTGTACCAGAAGCCATTCGTATTTGTAATTTGAATTTCATTAAGGACTCTTAATATGTCTGTCTGTGTCATTTATAAATTTCATAAGTGGTTGAATTTACTATGAAGCATGTTGTATTGATGTAATTTGTAATTATGTGAAAGTGTCTGTATTAGGCTAATGTTTCTTCTGTGATTCAATTCTTGTTTTTATGTTTATTTGGGAAGAAGTCTGTGATGTGCTGCCCATGCCCTACTGAATTTTCCCCTGTGGGATTAATGAAGTAAACATTAATTAATAAACCAAACTAACTAAACTAAACTAATAATGAAATTATCTTATCTTATTATATATATAAAACATCTTTTTTGAGAATAAAAAGATTGTATATTACTCAAAGAATACATATAAATGTACATTTCTTCACAGACAATTAAATAAATAATTATAAACTTCGTATGAAAAGGGTCTGTTTTCGAAGAGTCACATATTTGTCAGGAAGCCTGTGACTTGAAGCAAGGTCATGATTATTAAAATGATTCTTTTAATTGTGTTGAATTTATTTTAATTTTTAAAAGTATTATTTAATCAATTTACGGTATTAATTGATTAATGATTATAATATACTATTCAATATAAGAATACTTCATTATTTGGAATATTAAAAAAAAACATTTGAAAAGGAAAATCAAAAAGGTTTTTTTGTTAATACAGAAGTTTGGAGCTAAATTACTTTTTACATAATACTTTGCAATAAACACAATAGTTAGTGAGTAATTGTTTCTTTAAAGTGATGACAATAGGAGAAACTGGGTGAAATACTCTCATTAACTTTCATTTTAACATTTTCATTTTGCAATTTAGTTCGGTGGATTTTAGTTTAATTTAGTTTTTGTTGAGCAGAGGCAGGTTTTTTTTTTGAAAAGATATTCACACATGAAGTATGGCCATACATAATTAATACTATGACACAATCAGGAATTGCACCAGAAATAATATCATTCTCTCTCATCTACAGTTACAGCTCCATTGGCTTAGCTCACCTTTCCTGTGGTGCAATACAGTCCAGCCATGGATAAGATTTTGGAAGCGCTGGTCAGCTCCTCCCATCCTCTGACGGTCAAACGGGCTATTGTGAAAAAAGTCATGGAGGCTGCAGAAAAGGAAGTGACCGAGGAGCAGTGCCAGGCCTTGTACCATCTCACCACCCGCCTTATTCTCCTGGGCGAGGATGCTTTTCAGCGACAGGTTGGCCTCCAAGTGCAAGAAGCGTACGCACGTTACCATCGCGATGAGTTTGCCCGCTTCTTCAGCAAGGAATACGTACTTGTTCTCCTACAGCAGGGCTATGGCTCTTTGGACCGCAGAGACCCTGCCATCTTGGACTTTCTACACGGTTCCCTCCGACTGCTCATCAGCTGCCCGGCTGTGTTGGAGTTGGCACCATTGCTTCAGACGGAGGTCCTACGCATCATCTGTGAACGGCCAGAACCAGCAACTTGTGCCAAGCTGGCCACCATACTGACAGACTTCCCTCAGTGCGTCCCTCGAGAGAAGGCTGGAGTTCTTTTCTGTCAGCAGCTTGTGCGCACCTTTGCGTATTTCCACTGTCCTGCCACTGAAGAGCGGGAGTTGCGGGAGTATGTGACTCAGGTGACCAGGGTGAGTGTGCTGCTGCAGGGCGTCTGGAAGGCCGAGCCGGCCACGCTGCTACCGTCACTGCAGGAGGTGTTTGCCATCATCTCATCCACAGGTCAGTAAGCAGTGATTCCTCTTGTGATGATATTTTAAATCATGGGAATTAATCCAAAAATGAAAATTCTCTTATTTACTCACCCTCATGTCGTTCCAACCCTGTATGACTTTCTTCAGTGGAAAGTAAAAGGGGAAGATTGGTTGCTCTTTTACACACAATTAGAATGAATGTGGATGAAGCTTTAAAAAAAAATGCAGAAGCACCATGAAATATCATAAAAAGTGCCCGTAGTAGACATATAGACATGAGAATGAGTAAATGATCACCAATTTTTTATCTTTGGATGAACTAATCCAGAAACAGCATTGTTAAAATATAGTCAAGATGTGTCAAGCTAAAATGTACTTGCTTTTTTTTTCATCTATATCAGGGTTTTTTTTTTATTATGAAAATGAAAATAAATTAGTAATTTTAAAAATAAAAACAGAATCAGAATAATTCACATAAATTATGAAAATCTGATGAAATATTTTATTTGTTTACCTGCCTGTCATGTGACCTTTAAGCAGCATCAGAGAACCATGAACATGTGAATGTCTTGTTAAATTATTGATTATCTTAAATCTCTGGGGTTACTTTAAGTAAATATTTAGGGTTGCCTAAATACTTTAAGGGGTTCGGCTGACAAAAAAGTTTGTAAATCCCTGATATAATGGGTTGGTATAGACACCAGTCAAACCAATAGGTAGGCCTAATCTTCTTACCTTAATCAAGAAATGTGAGTCTAAAATATGATAGGATGATAGGCTTTATGCAGCACATGAAAGCATCGTGCATCTTGCCCTGCAAAACACTATAATATAAAAAAAATTATTGTTAGGCCTATATATGTGTCAATGTTACGATATTATAATAATTATTATAAAATATTAAATTATATTATTTTTACTATACTTTGTATATTTTACTTATACTTTTTATAATTTTTGTTTTTATATTTTATATATATTTTTAATATTATAAAATGCCTCCTAGACATATACTATTTTAATATGCATGTGTTTTGTATTCTGAATGTTCTGAGGAACCTCTAAAGGAATATAATAATAATAATAATAATTAAAAGTTTAATATTATGCTAATTAGACTACATGTGTAAGTGGGAATTGGCAAGTATCCGCAATGTGTTTGTTTTCATTTCAGACCCTTCATTTGAACCCTCCATTGCTCTAGCATGCCTGGTCCAGCACATCCCTCTGCAAATGATCACAGTCCTCATCAAAAGCCTCACCACTGACCAGAATGTTAAAGATGCCAGTATGACACAAGCACTCTGCAGGTCAGACTGTGCGCGCGCTGTGTAAAGCTTGTGAATAGTGCTTTTGTGTCTGTTTAAAAGACTAAGCCCTTGATCCAACTGCAATCATGTTGTTTTCTCTACTTCTTGTGCGCTTCAAGTATGTGGTAATTTCATTTATGCAAGTCATTTAGAAAGAGTGTAGTGTTCATAATGGCTTAACAGATTTTAAAAGAGTAGTAATTGTTTTGTTGTTGTTGTTTTTTTTCTAGGGTTGAATGTTGAGGTCAAAATGTTGGCAGTTTTCTTTTTTGCGGCACTGTTACTGTTATATAAGGCTTTTATTTTATATGTTGCCTGTCCTGACCCTGTTTTCTCTCTCCATCTTTTTCAGGATGATTGACTGGTTGTCCTGGCCTCTAGCCAATCATGTGGACACTTGGGTCATTGCTTTATTAAAGGGACTTGCTGCTGTTCAAAAGTTTACCATCCTCATAGATGTCACACTGATCAAAATTGAACAGGTTTGTGTGTATGTACTCATAAAAGAGCACATGTTTAGAGAATTACAAGCAACACCAGCATAAGAGTTCTGATTTGTGGAAGGTATTGAGAAGTGGAATGGATCAGAATTTAGTTGGTTATTTGAGTTTTATCAACATTTTTTTTTCTTTGATACCTAAGAATTGGTTGGTGAGACCTGCCTGGCAGAGGCTTTTCTATGTGTTTATGTGTATGAATGTGGTTTTGTTTGTCTGTTTGCAGGTCTTTAATCGTCTTTGGTATCCTATTGTGAGACAGGGAGCGCTGGTGGTTCTTTCACATATGCTGCTTAGTTTCCAGCACTCTCCTGAAGCATTTCAGTGCTTCATCTGTTTTATATCCACCTCTGGTTCTGTTGTAGGAACTACCTAAACCTAATGAGGAGAAGATCAAATTTGTTCTGAACCAAAGTGCCTGGACCTCTCAGTCAAATTCATTTGCCTCAGGCCTGCTTAAGATCACAGGAAAATCAGAAACGGGGAAGACGGGACTTGTGAATCTGGGCAACACCTGCTACATGAACAGCATCATCCAAATTTTATTTATGGCTACAGAGTAAGTTTTAAATCTACTGCATATTGTTTGATCTCTTTCTCAACTGTTTAACTGTCTAACATTCTCCATATGCAAATACCATTACGCTTTTATACCATTTTAATGATTGCATGTAAACACAATGTTAATAATACATGATAGAAATTATCCTCAGGCATTTAAATGTTTAAAATATTTATAATGCTTTTTCAACTGCAAGATATTTTTCAGCTCTAACTGTCTCTTTTTAAAAGTTTCAGACGGCATGTTATGTCTCTGCATTTGAATGGCAGCAATACCCTCATGAAGAAGCTCCAGCTTCTATTTGCCTTCTTGGCTCACACACAGGTATGTTTATCTTCTGCGCAGTATTCTGTCTGTCCTCTGAAACGTTGCAGCGCTTGGCATTACTGGGTAGGGGTGTTAAATGAGACTGTTAAGCATACCTGCTGGTGATTATTTATCATGTTATATGCCCACCAGAGAGCAGCATATTCTCCAAGGAGTTTTTTGGAGGTTTCTCGGCCACCATGGTTTACAGCTGGATCCCAGCAGGACTGCTCAGAGTATTTGCGCTTTCTGCTGGACAGGTAAACTCCGAAAATGGCTATGGTATCCTTTCCTATAACTATAAGAAAGATGTATGTTTAAAGCCTCCTACACACTGCACAATTTTCGGCTGTCCCAGACGAAAGATTGGCATTGTGAAACAATCGTGGTGATTTGTATGATCGTTGCTCCTAAACAGTGGTCCTATGTCGTACAGTGAGGGAGGTTCAAAGATGGCCGTTGTCACGGTCTTGCAACCAAAGATAGTCTACGATAATTTTCTGACAGTGTCAGAAATTCAGCATGATCAGGGCTGTCAAAAAAAAATCTGAATTTCGAATATTCGTAGAACTTGCGAAAACTTGACGCTACAGCAGCACTTCTTCGTAGTCTTGTCTGATGCACTCAACCAAGCGTTCTAACCACGACCTCGCCCCTCCCCATCCCCCAACCATTCGAATTTCTGTAGGTGGGAATTATTTGAATGATATTCTAATGGGCCGCTTTGTAATATCACAAAACCCGGAAAACAAACGCTGTAGTCCAAACGAGCCATTCGTTGTAGTTCTTGAAAAGGGATTTTTTAAAAACGAAATATCTCCCTGTTGCATTCGAATTTTAGGTGTGCATTAATGAGGCAGCCTTATCAGTGGCGCATGAGATGCGATGATGATGTAAGTGTCATTGCATTATAATGTTTTTGTTTTGTAATATTTCGCGCATTTTCTAGACAGATATCTATTATCGTTGCACTCGCATCTCGCACAAAGGACCCACATGTAAAATTAATGCAAGTTTAACTTTGAAAAAAACATATATCGATTATGCACTTTTTTCACAGATAGTCATGTTATCTTATGCTTTGAATAAACGTGTATTAGTAATATTTTGCTCGATGCGCCCTCTTGTGGCCTCAGAAGAGAAGCCAAAAGCTTTTCTTCACCCTAACTGAAATTATGCATTTTAAATTTGAATATAATTCGAATTTTGATCATATTTAAGTACAAAATTCAAATTTAGTTTTTCAGCCATTTTGACAGCCCTAATGATCATCGCACAGTGTGTTTGCTGCTACGACCCACGTTTACTGACCAGCCAATAAAAATGCGACATGAAATCACTGCGACACGGCACTAAAACATAAAACTGCAAAATGTGATTCATCATACTCTTTTTTTCTTCTTTTTTTTTACCACTAGCGCATGCTGATGACGTTTTATTCTTCTATAGTAACATGCGTCGTAGCCTACGAGTCAATAGGTGTCATCATCGTACAGTCTGCATACATGTCGTACCCAAGTTTATCAGATCCATGTCGCACAGTGTGATTTGCAATAATCTGCTAAAATCGTGCAGTGTGTAGATGGCTTAAGAGTTGCTCTAGGCCGTTTTGCAGTGAGTGCTTAATGCTAGACTGAGCTGATTTTGAAACTTTACTAGGGCAGTTTATGGTAACTCATTAATTCAATTTGACATTATAACTGCTTTATTCTGTTACATGATTCATGTAGACTGATCAGAACCAGTTGAACAAGAGCACCAGCAGGCATCAGTCTTCAATATGTGTTCACATACACTAGACACAAACACACAATAGTATTCTGGTTCCTGTTTGTCAGGGAAACAGAAAATGAAATGAAAATCTCTCTTTTTTTGTATAGTGTAATTTAATTATCATTGAAGCTCAAGAAGTATGAAGTATAACTGAACAAGTAAACTACAAGTGAAACACGCATCCATTTGGACATTAAAAAGAAGACAGAGGAGAGCTGGTCAGACTTAATGTCAGCTGTACAAATAAGTCCATAAAGTATGTGGAAAGTTTTCTTTAGCCCTGTTTCTCCTTGGGAAGTAAGATGATTTCTTCATTTACAGGGGTTAGTATGATTTTATTGCCATCTAGAATCCAGAATGTCTGTTTTTCTCCTGCCACCCTCATAAAAATTCACAGTCCGAATCCACATCTCCTGAGTTTACAAGGAAAGATTAATCCAAAAATGTTTTTTTTTTCTACAATCAAGCACCATACGGTAGCTGTTGTGCTTCACTGTACTGTGTATGCATTTTAAATATGGACATTTTTTATTATTGAATTGCTGGAAGCTGTTTATAAGAATAATATCATGTTATCGCTCCACTACAGAGAGTAGGAGCTGTTAAGAATTGAAAGTGAAAAAAGTGAACAAAATAATGTACTACTTTTGAATAAATAACTTTTGAAATCTGTTATTACTATGGCTGCAACAAGTATGCAATACAATTTTTAAATATGTATTATATGCGTTTATATATATTAGGGCTTACATGAGAATCATTTAACTAGTCAACCAAGTTGCTGGGTAAAATGTTGACCTTATGTAAATAAGAGGTTGTGTGTACTTTCCACATTTTCAAAATGACATCCATCATTTTGAGAGATAAAATGCAAGACAGAAAACCATTCAGTTTTCCTATTAGATGGGATATTTAAATAAATAAAAAAATTGGATATTGTATACCTATTAAATTAATATTTAATTTATTATTTGTCTAAGTAATAACATTTTGTTTTCATGTGACTGACCACGTGACAAATGCATTTCTGGGTCCATAGGGTAAAATTGTCACCTGAAAGGACAAGTCCAAATAAGGCTGTACATTCCTTTTGCCATTAATTGTAATAATCCAATGAGATTTTTGAATGCACAAGGAGTCTGACAACAGCCAGTGCTTCACACAGAGATCTGATCACACCAGGGATTACATGAAGAAACAGAAAAAACTGAGACAGACTAAATCCAGAAGAACTGTGGCAACGTCTCCAAGACGCTTCAAGAAACCTACCTGCAAAGCTACAGTGCTGTGAAAAGTTTTAGGCACTTGTGCAAAAATGCTGTAAAGTGAGGATGCTTTCAAAAATAATGTCATAAATAGATTTGATCAATTATCTTCTATTAACTAAATCAAATCAACATTTGGTGTGGCCACCCTTTACATTTAAAACAGCTTTTGTCTTTGCATTTGCGCATAGTTTTTCAGATAGATTTGCAGGTAGGTTTTTCGAAGCGACTTGGAGACGTTGCCACAGTTCTTCTGGATTCAGTCTGTCTCAGTTTTTTTCTTTTTCTTCATGTAATCCCTGATGTGATCCGATCTCTGTTGTGCATACAAAAATCTTACTGGATTATTACAATTAATGGCAAAAAGAATGTTTGGAAATGTAAACATATATTTCCTACTGACACACTACAGCAAAAGATAACTGGCTTATAAAAAAAAAATTACTTGACTTAAAACCATTTTTTTGTTGGTGAAAATACTAGTGGCCTAAGATTTTTTGCATAGTAGTGTATATCATTTTGTAATAATTTGTTATCTGCGAATAAATATGACATTTATCCGATTGAGTATTTTAATTGATTATAACCCTAAAAACAATAAAATAATGTGTTTTCTTATTTACAACAGCAGGGGGAGCTCATGTATTTCGTGTATTTGTTATGTTCTGTCTTCCTATGTGATATGAAGGTTGCATGAAGAAGAGAAGACTCTTTCAGCCCTTCAGGTGACCAGCCCAAAACCTGAACCTGCAAACACTTCTGCTGAAACTCTTCAAGCTGCTGCAAGTCAGCCGGTCGCTGATATGCCATCACATCCAGATCCTGTGGCAGCCAATGGAGATGGTCGCACTCTAGTGGAGCGTATGTTTGGTGGTCGACTCTCTACAGCCATCCGCTGCCTGCAGTGCCACAGCCTGTCAGAAAAAGAGGAGCCATTTACAGACCTCTCTCTTGCCTTCTGCCCCTCGATGTCCAAGTGCCACGGTCCCACCGATGAGCACAAAAGCTCCTCCTCTGTGGGACCCTGCCAAGGGGCGGTGAATGGAGGCAGTGAATCCTCAGAGGGCTCAGTAAAAGAAGGTGCAGGAACTAGGATGGAGAGGCCGGTGGTGGAGCCCACACTGTCTGCACCAGATTTAGTTGACTACTTCCTGGCTCCAGAAATCCTAGAGAATGAGAACTGCTACTTCTGTGAACGCTGCGCCTCACTGCAGCGGGCCAAGAAGGTCATGCAGGTGGTGGTGGCACCTGAGTACCTCATTCTGACTCTGCTGCGCTTCTCGTACGATGCCACCTGCCACGTCCGCCGCAAGATCCTGGACAATGTAGGCATTCCGCTGCACATGAGCCTACCTTTACGCCAACACGGTATCTCCGCTTCATCATCCTCCTCAACTGCAGCTACATCTTCCTCATCTGACTCCCCCGACAGTGGTGAGAATCTAGCTAAGAAGCTCAAGCCTTCTCAAAAGGAGGATGGGATGGTGGAAAACAGAATAAATAGTGAGACAAATGACAGCGATTCGGAGATGCTGTCAGTGCCGTATGTTTTGAGTTCTGTTGTAGTGCATTCTGGGATGTCCTCCGAGAGCGGTCACTACTACTCGTATGGAAGGAATGTGAGTAGCACTGATGGTTATGTAGCTCACCCATGTCCTAAGACCCTGGAAAGCTCCAGCCTATCAGAGAGCTCGACAGCCACACAGGAGGAAATGGGATGCGCTGAGCACAAGTCCATGGACTGGTTCTTGTTTAATGACAACCGAGTGTCTTTTACAAACTTTGAATCATTGCAGAATGTCACCAGTCGCTTCCCTAAGGACACAGCCTATGTCCTGATCTACAGGAAACAAGAGGTCAGTGGACAACCAAGCAATTCAGGGCCAGTTGTAAATGGCTCAAGACTGAGTGGAGAGCCACCCCTGCAGAAAGAGCTGATGGATGCCATTACCAAAGACAACAAACTCTTCCTACAGGTGAGAATGTTGTACTTTATGATGCTCTTATGCTCACAAAGACTGCATTTATTTGATCAAAATACAATTAATAAAGGTAATGTTGTGAAATACTGCTACAATAAAAAGAAAAAAATGATTTTAATATGTTCAAAAATATAATTATATAATTCATTCCTGTGATGGCAAAACTGAATTTTTAGCACCCATTACTGCAGTCTTCAGTGTTACATGATCCTTTAGAAATCATTCTAATATGCTGATTTGCTGTTTAGGAAACATTACTAATTATTATCAGTGTTGAAAACATTTGTGCCACTTCATATTTTTGTGGAAACAATGAAACATGTTTTCAGGATTCTTATATGAAAAGAAATTTCAAATGAACATCATTTATTTAAAATAGATTTTTTTTTGTAACCATGTAAAGGTTTTTACTGTACATTTAATGCATTTTGCTGAATAAAAGCATTAATTTCTTTAAAAAAAAAAAAGCTTTTGAACTTTAATATATAATCTGTAATCTTGTCAGTGGCATAACACTAATTTGTTTTGTCTGGGTCTGTTTCTTTTTTTCAAAAGTACATGCATTTCTCATACAAGACTTGCATACACATTTTCAAATGCTAATAAAAACTTAGTCATTTGGTGCAAATACATGTAGGGGAAAAACATAGGACAGGAAATTATATTATAGAGAGAAAACCCTGCTGAAAACTCTCATGACATATATCTCTTAAAACATCAGGTAATTTGAATTATATCATTTTTAATTATGAATTCACAAATGTCATTAAATACTTTTTACCTTAAAGGATATTAAAGTATTTTTTATCTTTGTTGAACATGATAATTAAGATACTCTTATTTTTCTAAGGTGTAATGAAAATGTTGTTATTCTACATGACATTTTAAAAAGTTTTGTTAAAAATGTTTTTTCAAAATCATATGAAACCTTTTTCTTTATCTTGGACACTCTTAATTAGTCAGTTGATTAGAGTTGAACCTGGAGCATAGATTTAACCCTTCGTTTCTTTTCCTTCCAGGAGCAGGAGCTGAATGCCAGAGCTCGGGCTCTTCAAGCAACCTCTGCTTCTTGCTCATTCCGACCCAATGGTTCTGATGACAATGATCCCCCTGGCAGCTGTGGACCCTCAGGTGGGGGTGGAGGAGGGGGCTTCAATACCATCAGCAGACTCGTCTTCTAAGGAAGAGTCACAGACATACTCGGAGCACTGGACAGTCCCACTGACAACACCGGACTCCATTTGTTTTGCCCTAATTGCCCACAATGTGGATAAGTGTGCCACCTCAGAACAGATGTCTTCATTTTTCTGGTTTGCGTGCTTTTTCCCATTTACATTGACGTTCATTTACATTGACGTTCATTTGAAATTAATTGAAGCACTTTGAGTACTATAGGTCAGAATGGGCATGCAATAAATTTGTACAGAATACAGTAATAATTACGTTCTCATCCTGGAATCTTAATTGTTTCAGTTTCTAAACCGAAATCATTAGACAGAGAATGGTTTTAAAAATTCAAGCAAATATTTTTGGACCATACGATACAGTGAACTACTTGCATGAATATTTTAATTGGAAGTTTTTCAACTTCTGGTTTGAGGATTACTGTTATATCTGTTTTGTCAATTATTTAATTACAATTAAGTTATTTTATTCATTCAGGGAATACTTTTTTGACTTAACTTTAATTTTTTTTTTTTTTTAGAATTTTATGTGCCTTTCAATACTTCAGATTTTACAAAATTATTGGACTAGCTACACAATAAACACCTTGCTCTTGCTGTACAGCATTATTATATGTAATGATTATGTTTTTGCTCTATAGTGAAGACTTGTCATCACTTAACATGGTCTAATTTTATTATTTAAAATGCAAGTTACAATTTATCACTGTCAGATTCTGTGTCATTTACTAGTTAAAAGATTTGAGAAGACTGTGCATATTTTATTTCAAGGTTAGAGATGTAATTTCAGTATGAAAGCTCAGTGTTATATCAAAAAAAGCTGAAATTTCAGTTTTCAGTGTTCAGTTACAATAAGACATACATCATTTGATTTCAAGACAAATACGTTGATACATTTTCATTACTTAATATAAATATATATATA